TTTTAAATGTTGTAATTGCACCAGCCTTCACCACTCCCTCTGGCACCTCATTCCATACACGTACCACCCTCTGCATAAAAAAATTGCTCCTTTGGTCCCTTTTAAATCTTTCCCCTCTCACTTTAATCCTATGCCCACGAGTTCTGGATTCCCCACTCTGGGGAAAAAGACCTTGCCTATCTACCACGCACTCATGATTTTATAAACCTGAGGTCACCCCTCTGCCTCCAATGTTCCAGGGAAAATAGCCTCAGCCTATTCAGCCTCTCCCTAAGCACAAACCCTCTAACCCTGGCAACATCCTTGTAAATCTTTTCTGAAACCTTTCAAGTTTCACAATATCCTTCCTATAGCAGGGAGACCAGAATTGAACACAATATTCCAAAAGCGGCCTAACCAATATCCTGTACAACCACAACATGACCTCCCAACTCCTATACTCGATGCACTGACCAATAAAGGAAAGCATACCGAACCCCTCCTTCACTGCAACTCCACTTTCAAAGAACTGTGAACCTGCACTCTTTGTTCAGCAGCACTCCCCAGCACCTTACCATTATGTGTACAAGTCCTGTCCTGATTTAAATGCAGCACCTCACATTTATCTAAATTAAACTCCATCTGCCACTCCTCTGCCCATTGGCCCACCTTATCAAGGTCCCGTTGTATTCCGAGGTAACCTTCTTCATTGTCCATTACACCTCCAATTTTGGTGTTATCTACTATCAATACCTCCTATGTTCACATTCAGATCATATAAATGATGAAAAGCAGTGGACCCAGCACCAATCCTTGTGGCACACCACTGGTCACATGCCTCCAGTCTGAAAAGCAACCCTCCACCACCACCTTGTCTTCTACCTTCAAGCCAGTTCTGTATCCAAATGGCTAGTTCTCCCTGTATTCCCTGTGATCTAAGCTTGCTAACCAGTCTACCATGAGGAATCTTGTTGAATGTCTTACACTTTCCCTTCTGCCCCGAATTCGTACTTAGATTCAAATTCCCAATTACTTATTGTTCTCTGTCTCACTCCATCAAAGCCTCCTTCACCCTGACTGTGCAGTTTATCATTTTATAAAAAAGTGTGTTATTGACTCATTGGGACCTCTGCAGAATTTCACAGGCATCCACTCAAACATATCCAGATGAGTGATGCCCTCTTCACTAAACTGCACCAATTTATTTGCTTCCTCATGGATCAAGGGAGTCAGACAAACTGGCCTGTCAGTTTTGCTGTCATAGTAAATATCATAGAGGCAAGATGGAATCAATTGCACACAGATTACCATCAAAACTCCATGAACAACCTGCAGTGTCAATCGAAAGGAAAAGTTCTTGCTCCTTTAATGTACAGATCATCTGTGACCACACAGTCAGAGGTCTACAGCACAAAAATAAAAGGCCTTTCGGCCTATCAAGTCTGCTCAGGTCGAAAACAACCATGTAATTATTCTAATTCTTGGCCCATAGCTTGTAGCCTTAACATCGCAAGTGTACATGTAAATATTTCACAAATGCTATCAGGGTTTCTGCCTCCACCGGCTTTACAGGCAGTAAGTTCTAGATTCCCACCACCCTCTAGGTATAATAAAAATTCCTCCCATTCCCTCTAAACCTTCTACTCCCCAACTTAAACCTATGTCCCAGTCACTGATCCCTGCACCAAAGAGAAACCTTTCTTACTGTCTATCCTATCTATGCCCATCATGATCTTATACATCTCATTCATCTCCCCGCTCAGATTCCTCTGGTCCAAGAAAAACGCCTGACTATCCAATCCCTCTTCATATTAAAATCTATCCAGTCTAGGCAATATTGTGGTAAATCTCCTCTCTACCATCTCCAGGATAATCACTTTCCGAAATTAGACCAGCCAAATACTTCAGGCTATTCCCAAATCCAGGCAGATGTCATAGTTCCAAGATCCTGGAATGCTCAAAAGGTGACTGTTTCTTTTCATGCTCTCACATAAAAGGCTGGCTGTTGGGAGACAGTGACTGCGTTCCTCAAGTCCAGGATGTTCAGACCTGTCAAGTATCCTTAGATTGACACCAAGGAGAGATGCAATGCACATGATTCCACAAAAGCCATTATTAAACAGTCCAAAAACTCCCTGAAAATGAAGTTCAGATGTCTGGACCAGTTGGCGCACTACAGTATTGCCTACTTTTGGAGTCTCCTACATCAATGTGGAATGCTGCGCCTTCCTCAACTGAGAGGATGTGATGCCTGCAGTGGACTACACAAATCCAAAAATTTCCTATCCCACACCACCTCACCCACCCAAGACCCTCAAAAGAATGAAGTACTTCATAGCTTAAGAAGGGTCCTGAAGAAGGGTCATTGGATCTGAAACATTAACTCTTGTTTTCTCTCCACAGATGATGCCAGGCCTGCTGAGGTTTTACAGCAATTTCTGTTTTTGCTTCACATCTCATTTGGACATAGCATACTTCATATCCTGAGAAAGTTGGCCTGGCTATGCAGACCCCAGTTGGGGGAAAATACCTTTCCTTCCTAAACCCTACAGAGCCCAAACATTTTACATTACTTAATAAATTGTCTCTGCACAATGTCATGATCCTAGATCAAAACTGTCTTCACTCTGACCTCTTCAGCCAAAGTAAGTGCTCCTGAAAGCAATCTCGGAAGCCTTGACTACAATCCTCAAAATGTTAGGTCTACACTTTGCTCAATCATGACAGTAACTTGAGCTGCACACATCTCTGATGATGTGATACAATAAAATGTGAAGCAATGGAACAGCAGTATCTGTGTGATTGGAGAAGATGCTTCACACACTCAACTTTAGACAATAGTGTCAGCACCGAGCAGCATAATGGTACCACAGCAAATGTAGTGCAAGTGAATATATAATTATAGAGGTGCAAATTGGGTACATGTGATGAACACACAGGTGCCCTCAAAACATTGTCCTCTTTCTTTGTCTACATTTCAGTGTTGCCCTGATAGCCACCAGTTGAGGTGGAGAAAACCTGCTGACAACTAAACGGTGACTGTGATGATTTTGGTGGATTTAGAGAGTCCCAACCTAATTAAAGTCTTCTACAGAGGTGGCAGATGACCATTCTCAGGCTGATCTGCTGTGGGCAATGGTGTTACTCTCACAAGGGAGATGGAAAGATACAGAACCTGCAGACTGTCCTGAAATAAAGCTCCCATGTTATCTGGCTTATACTTTTAAGTTACTGTGGTGTCTGCTGATACCTCCATATATCCTTAAGTTGAAGAGCCACCTGGAGTTAGGTTGAGATGCCTTTACCCATTTCGCTTTGCCACTGATGCCGGGCACCTGTGGCTGCAGCAGTGGAGTGCAGGTTTGAGGATTTTTCCAGCAACCAATGCAGCTGTCACACTTTCCATGGAAGCAAACAAGCATTCACATACCAGAGCCACAACAGTAATCAGAACTTGGATTGACCTTTTCATCATCTACTTTGGTCTACGGAGGGCGTGCGGCATTGATGTCTGATGATCGCCCATGTCTGTGCAGGCTCACCATGTCTCTTATGGTCAACACAGATGCAGGTCACCTGCATTGAGCTGAACAGTTGCCTGATCTCCATCAGGGATCTAAGGTCTCCAATCTTCCTCAGCTAGTTGTGGACCTATTTCACTGATGTGCTCACCAGACTGTGACCTCAAACCTACACTAGATAGTGGACCCCAAATGTCTGTGTTCGTTCAGGTTGCAGTCAAGATCTCCTTTGAGGTATCAGAGACATCCTGCTCAGAGTTCAGCTGGGTTGAGGTTATAACATCTGTGTTTCCTCTTCTTGCTAGTATCTTTGAAGAAGAATTAGTTGGTAAAGACATGTAGTCCCTACGGAGACATTTAATGATACTGCCTGCACAGCTAAGAGCAGATTGCTATGTTCCACACTAGTTTCTTGCAATATTCCTATCTCACCATCTGAGCAGAATGGCCACAGTGCTCCCCAGAAAGGGGAGAGGATCCGACCCAGGACTGTTCCCTGTACCTCCTGTTGTGTGTTATCTTGTCCTGCAAACTGAGTAAGAGAAGGCTTAAGACTTTTCATAATATGTGCATGAGCAGCTTATGAGCATAACAGCCCTGCCAAGCTCCAATTCCTCAACAGTGAGAGTGAGCAAGAGGTGCAGTGCATGGAATGTTTTAGAATATTGAAAGGATGATGTGATTATGAGCCGTTTAGTATACATCATCCACGTGTTCCTGAGGTTCATAAGCAATGCAATATGCCTTTGCAGTTATACAGTTAAACTAAATGTGACCTTGCAGCGAGTAGATGGTATCACTTACCCTTGTCGAGTGCAAGAGTTCATTGATTTTGTTCTTTACTGGCACTGACTTCAATCCAGGTCATCCAGGTCTGATGGGAGGGCTTCCTACTGCCATCCTTAGATAAGAGGACCTCCCTTCTTTAGTGGACGACCAGCAGGTCTCACAAAGTGAGACTGAACCTTGGGGCCAGTTTCTGCTGAATTAGAGATAACTCCAATGGGGTAGGGCAAATAACTTAGAATCAGCAATCCTACAGGCCCGCAGTGAGTGAAAGCCTGCCTGGAAGGCCTTTCAAGTATTGCACTCGAATTTTTGACCCCAAAAGCTCCCAGCAGGGTGAGAACTTCTGGCCCCTGCATCAAAAGATTCACCATTCAATTCATAAAACAACTGGTATTCACGTGTAATGTGCTGAAGTGACTGTGTGAGAACTTCGTCCCAAACCCTGGTTGAAGCAATCATCTCCAACATGCCCAACACCATTCTTCACCTCCAAAATGGAAAGTGCTGGTTGCTTTCTTTCAGTATTTTTAATATAGCCAAGTTAAATCAGTCTTCAAATGGTCTGTAGCCATTTGCTGCAAGTTGCTATTGGGAGTCCATATTTCTTCACTCTGCTCAAGCTGGTTTTCCTGTTCATAGTAGCTTTCTGCATTATATGTAGCTTTACTACAACTGATTTAATGTTTTTCCTGTATTTTATGACAACGTAAGGAATTCAAATAAAAAAGTAGCATTGAAGCAAAAGATGAAGGAAAATGCTAAGGAAGAACAGAAGAAGAAAACTGAAGAAGCGTATACAAAATACGAGAGAGAAGAGATGGCATCAACAATGTATGAGAAGTGGCTGGTAAGATTTGAAGCAAATACAGGAAATATTTTGGTGTACATTTAAAAGAACTCAAATGTAGTTATGTTTCCATTAAGTAATAATGAAATACTAAGAATAAATTGGTTGTTCAAGATCACTCCAATATCTTTCAAATTTATGAGCAATTAAATTAATTGTAAAATTTCCTAACCTCTCAATGCTTGCCCACTAAGAATATGTTATGATGCCGGTGAGCCTGATGTTTGCAATTTGTAGAATCCCTACAGTTTGGAAACAGGCCATTCAGCCTAACAAGTCCATACTGCCCCTCCAAAGAGCATCCCACCTAGACCCATTCCCCTACCCCTGCATTTTCCCCATATCTAACCCACCTAACCTAAATATCCCTGAGCACTATGGGCAATTTCGCGTGGCCAATCTACCTACCCTGCACATCTTTGGACTGTGGGAGGAAACCGGAGCACCTGGAGGAAACCCACGCAGACAAGGGCAGAATGTACAAACTCCACACAGGCAGTTGTCAGAGGGTGGAATTGAACTCGGGTTCCTGGCACTGAGACAGCAGTGCTAACCACTGAGCCACCGTGCCACCCATCATACATTGTATGATGAATAACTTGATACCATTATTTATTGCAGAATGTATTCTAACTTAACATTGGAAAAGTCTGCAACTAGTATATAAATAATAAAAACTTGTTATATAGTACCTTCCATGGCCAGTGTTATCCTAAAATACATTAAATTGTTGTACTAGAGAGATATGAATAGGTTAAGCCAGTGGGCAAAACCTTGACAGGTAGAATATAACATAGCTATAAAATGGAAAATGTGAGGTTATGTACATGGCATGGCAAATAGAGAAGCTAAATATTATTTAAAGGTGAAAGACTGCAGAAAGCTACAGAATAAAAGGGAGACCTCGTCCATGAAGTGCATGAAGCTAGGATCAAAGTTCACCAGATAAAAGGTAAGGCAAGTGGAATGTTGGCCTTTATTTCAAAGGGAATGGATGTACAAAAGTAGTAAGGTTTTGCTAAAACTACACAAAACACTGGTGAACATGTTTTCAGACCCTTATCCAAGGAAAGATAAGCTAGCAGTCCAGAGAAGGTTCATTAGGCTGATGGCTGGTGTTACAACACAGGGAAAGCAAGCCAAAGTAAATCAGCCTTGTGATCACTGGATTCGTAACATAGTGAAATTAAAGTATTCAATGACCCTCAAAATTACCCAATTATTCCTAACCAGACTTTACATATAACAGATCTCAGGCACCAAGTGTATAGCTTAAAAAAAATGAACAATTTATTATTAGTATTGCAACTTAAACAGAGGAAAGCTAAACAACAGATAATCTAATTAATAGCTATGCTTAAAACCCAATTTTCTTTGGTTGTAACCCCTCCTCACACAGACAGGCACAGTTAAAAGGATAAATTAATAAGAAAACAAGAATTGTAATTTGCCAGTTCCAACACTCTATCAAGTACTAAGTCTTTATGGAATCTTTGAATATTGCATTGTATTCCAGGCAGACTGGATTATATCCTTCTTGAGTTCTGAAGTCACCAGTCAATGTAAACAGTTTCCAGCAGGCTCCATGAAATACTCACTTATTTCTTATCAACTGGGATTATTTTTCCTCAGAACATTCAACAATTCTTTAACTGAATATGCAACTAGAAAGAGTGAAATAACTGCACAGAGGCCAGTATCCTGTCACCAAATTGCCCTTTATTTACTTGAGCACAGTACACTGGCTGTGGCCGGCCAGCTCAGAGTCAGTGCCCTGAACCATGGAGATTCTAAATCCCCTGTTAATATTAGTCAGTCAGGGCTTTCTGATTGACCTAGGTTAACAACCCAAATCAAGGATCTCATTGTCAAGACATCCACCTGGTTCCAATCACTACACAGAGAAAAAGTCAAACACAGCTTCCCAGTCCAACAGATTGAGCCTTTTGGCCCCCCAAAATGTCAAAACAAGTTCAAAATTTTCTCTCTTTTTCAACATTCTCTCTGGTGGGCTGGCCAGTAATGGCTTCCCCTTGATTGAACCAATGGAACATCTGACCAGCTGCTAGTGTTTAAGTATCCTGGTGCTGAAAAGTCTGCAACATCCTTAGAACAGTAGTTAACCTGCAGTTATCTTGTCGGGCCAGTTCCCATATGTAAGTATCAGTTTGTTTGACCTCTCTCCTTTAAAGCTGCTGTTTAAAGTTCAACTCTGAATCTCAGCTCACACAGTTATGAATCAAAAATGAGGAAAATAGAGGAAAAACAGTGGTGGTTTCAACACAGATATAGAAGGACTGTCTTACAAGGAGAGGTCGCCTAGGGCGTGGCCTTGTACTTATTAGAATTTAGAAGAATGAAACATACAAGATTCTTATGGAACTTGACAGGATAGATATTAGGAGTTGTTTCTCCTCATAGGGAAGACTAGACCCAAAGGTAACAATCACAGAATAAAGGGTCACACATTTAAGAGAGAGATGAGGAGGAATTTCTTCTCTTAGAGAGTAGTGAATCAGTGGAATTCTTTACCACTATTGAAATTGGGCCATTAAGTATAAAAAAATCTATCTCAGATTTGAATAATCAGTATGGGAATCAATGGTTATGGGGTAAAGGCAGGAAAGTGAAATTAAGAATTATCAGATCAGCCATGATCTTATTGAATGGTGGAGCAGATTTGATGAGCTGAATGGCCCATTTTTACTCTTATTTCTTATTGTCTTTAACGCAGCAGCCAATTAGTACACAAATTCCCTCACATAGCAACATGATACTGACCAGTTAAATCTGTTTTAGTGGTGTTGATAAGTGCTATCTACCCTGCTGTTCCTGGAAGCAGTGCTAAAAGATCTTCTACATCCACCCGAAATGGAAGTCAGGGCTTTCATTCAGCATCCCATCTGAAAGGGAGCACCGGAACAATGCACTGTGCTTAGTGCTGCATTGGAGTGTCAGCCCAAATTATGCATCTCAATCTCTGAACCCATAACTTTCTAACAGATTTCTTAACTAATAAAGAAATTTACAACAATGTGATCATTCTCTTATATCTACAGTCATTTATTTTTAAATCATTCGCTGCAGAAATTAAAGACCGCATTAAAGTCATTAATAAAAATATCATAATTATATCTTATTTCATGTTCCATTAATTAGTCTCAGAAACTGTATTTTAATTCATTGCCAAAAACATACTAATCTAATAATTTTGTAGTACATAACAAGTATTGCTCAAGAAAGAAAGACACGTTTTGTCAAAGCTTTTTGGCTTGCACCCACTCGTCCTGACAAAGTTTCAGTTAAACGTGTTTATTTTTCAGCACAAATTATTCTGTTGAACTTCAAAACTGGTTTAAAAATTGTATCCTTTAATTATTTTCTGAAAAATAAATCCACCATATCTATATTTGAAATATTTGTTCAAGTCTATTCTTTGCCCATTTTTAAAACAGAGCATTCCCTTAGTCGACAGTAATGAATCTGGCCATCCTTAACATTAAATTAGACCAGACTCGGGAAGACTTTCTTGCAGTCCCATGCTTGAAAGGAGTCATATGGATTCACATTCCCATTCTTAAATGAGAATGCAAGAAAGATCTCACAATAATGGCTGAGCATAGTAGCCATATGGTCCTTCAAGCCTGCATTACTAATCTGGTTGTGGTCCTGCTCAAATTTCCTGTTTGCACCTCATAACCTTTGACTCTATTGTGTCTAAAAGCTCTAACTCAGCTTTGAATGATATTAAAAGACCCAGCCACCAATACCTTCAGCAGAAAGATTTCCATTCTCTCATTACCCTTTGAAAGGAAAACAAAATCCTCATCGCTGTCTTAAAAGGGAAACATTTTATTATTAAACTATGTGCCCTTAATTTTAGTCACCTGCTTCTGTCCCCCACCAGTCCTCTCACGATCTTGTATGTTTGAATAAAATCAGCTCTCATTTTTCAAAACCCCAGTGGATGTAAGCCTGATCTCTCCCAACTGTTCTGTAATCCCTTTGTCCAAGGAATAGTTTGAGTGACCCTCCTCCAAATTCCTTCTACAGCAATTTTATCATTTTTTTTCCAAACATGCAAACCAAAACTATACTCCAGATGTGGTCTCACTAACACCCTGTCCAGCTGCAGTAAAACTACCCTTTTATATTCCATTTCTCTTTTTATAGAAAACAAGTCACCAATTTTCTTCCTAATTTTTTTTTTGTAATTGCATTCCAACATCAGTTGATTAAGGTACTAAACACTCAGATCCTTCTGTACCGCTAGGTTCTCTGCATCTGTCTCCAAATAAATAGTCTACGGTATTTTTCTATTCTTCCTGCTAAAATTGAGTAGTTCGTATTTAGTCATGTTATACTCCATCTGCCAAATTTTGGCCCACTCAGCTAACCTGTCTAAACATCTCTGCAGACTCTCTACCTATGCCCAACGATTTACTTGCCTACCCATTGTAAATCCTCAGTATCCACGAGTTCACAACTTGTGAATTTGCCTACCCACTCCAAAAAGCAACTAGCAACAAAATTCAGCATCCATGGCTAAACTCAAGTATCGATGAGTTTTAACTACTTTTTAACCTCTATTTCTGTGTCAACTGTAAATTTAGCTACCATACATTCGATCCGCCCTTATCCAAATCATCGATATAGGTTGCAAATAGTTGAGGACCAAGCCCTGATTGATCCTTGTGACATTCGACTAATTTCAGCTTCGCAAACCTAGAATGTGAAACACAATTTCCCTCTCAGAGCCATGTCAGCCCTACCTGAATGTTATGACTTTCAAAGTATCCTGCCAATTCTGAAGATTCACTTCCAGAGAATCATAGCTTTAGTAGCTGTTTTTTCTATTCAAATACTTAGAGAAACTTTCTCTGTTTATATTTGCCAGCTAGCTTTCTCTGATTATTCTGATTTCTGCCTGTTTGTTATTTTAATGGTAAATTAATTTTATTTACAAAAATTAGCTTCTTCGAGCTGAAGACAATAAGTCC